CATAGTGGGTTCCATCTTCAAAAACCATAACACCATGCCCCTATAGAAGAATATTTATTGTTCATATTACACTCATACTGAACTTCAATTCTATTTTCATATACATAGCACTTTTACACTGTTACAAAGCTGCACAACTACTTTACTAAACTTATTAATGTCTTATTTTGCTATGATATTTATGGTAATTTGTAGTTTATTTAATGATGCTATCAGCAGCTCAGATTATATAACATCAAATGATAGTATGTATAATGAGTAATAAATTGGAAATGATGTGGAAAGAAGCATTCATGACCTAATTTAAGGTACTATTCTAGTAGATGTCTGGTGGAACTGAGAAAATAATGAAAAACCTCAGTCAGGATAACTAATCGCTGGGTTGAAACCCTACTAATCAGGAGTGCTAACCACTCTGCCAGAGCATGAAATTTTAGCCTTTTGTTACTTAATCTATGGCAGGTCCAAATTCCTTCCTCAAATACCCTCAGTCTTTCTCTGTTATGGATTGAGATGAAGTGTAACACACATATAAAACAATAAGAGAAATTATAGTATATACATTTATATTTATATTACATACTTTAATCTTTAGACTTTTCGATGAATAGGATTCTTTCTACATGGTAAATCCTTCTGTTGCAGTTTTGCATGCCTTATTGACCTTGATGTTAATTTAATGAAGCTTAAATCTACTGCAAAGCTAAATTGTATTACAGGCATCACATTGGAGTCAGACATTGTTTTACCATCCTGAAAATGGTGTGAATAAAAAATATTGATGTGATCTATACTTTATGTAATATATCAGATTCTTGTAAAATGATCAGTTTTTTAAAAAGAAAACTTGTAAAAGTTTGTTTTGAAGTGATGAAAAGTAGAGATTCTAATGGACTGATAGCTACCTAAATTAAATTCAGCTAACAACTTTTGGTATAGACTCTCAACACCAAATGGTATTAAAATCCATTCTCCTGTTTCAGAGATGATATACGCATGATGACCTTTGTGTGTTCAATGCATGCAAAGAAATCTACACCGAAGTAAACTCATTAATCAGTTTACAAAAACATATGTTGAAGGCTTACCGTAAGAACATCTTGTGTGAAAGCACCTTCATAGTAGATGCCATCAAGGGTAACAATTAGACCACAGCCGTGCTTCATGTTATTGCTCCAATATCCCAGGTATTTCTCACCTATAAAAATGACAAACATACACTGAAAATTGATTCAGAACTTTCTAACAGAGGCTCAAGTAAGGGTGTTAAATACATCCTGACATAATTCAGACAAAATTTTGTAAAATCTGTTTCATTCTTGTCTTCAGCATTTGCAGCTGGAGTTCAGCATATAACCTTGGCTTTCAAGATGAGCCACATCAACACAGTTAATTCCCAAAAGCTGAAGTTAGACAGTATAAATTTCATATCCTGTTCATGCTGGCTGAAAACAAAAATTCTGTAATGTCATATTAACAAAGAGAGATGCTTGCAAGAACAAAGCATGTTGACTTTTACATATTCTCCAAAACATAAATTTTTATAAAACCACACAATCGACCAAATAATTTATTTAAAAAGAAAAAAACAAGGTATTTGTTATAATACTGTTCAGTATTTGAGGCAGTTTTATTTTCCTCCTAAAAATTTGTAGAAATGGACTTGTATGTTCCTTGCACCAGTTATTGTAATTGGATCTAAAAATATAACAGTTATACAGTCCTAATTATTTTCCCCAAACACATTTACTGTAGTCACTGATAATATCTTGAACCATTTTGTACAGTCTGAAACTTCTAATACTGTAATTTCTATTATAGCATTTAACTGTTTCACAGATCAAAATACTATGTTACATAACCTTCAAAGTTTTATTTGTATTCCTTAAATTATTTCAAGTTGAAAATTACTTGCATACATTTATTTAGTTCTAAGGTTTGTGACAGTAGTCTGGTATCATTGTGTAAGCATGTTCTTTGGATATTACCCATTGTCTGTCGTTGGGATTATCTAGTTCAGAGGCTGGCTTTGTCTTATCTTCATATAGAAAGCAAGGGAAAGGAAATATGTACTCAGTCAGTCAAACCTGATAAATAAAGCCACTCCTTGTTACTGGGCAACTAATTTAGATTATTAAGTCATTTGTATAAGTCATAAGAGGTCTTCATTATGTAATATACTCAACTGCTCATGTTTATCCTTCTTAAACACTCATAATTTATGTTCTTACCTTAAAAGTGACAGGTAATATTTTACATTCATATAGAACAAGTGGGAAAATTAGCTATTGTTTTGTATATTTTGATCTTCAGAATTTTGGATAGTAGACAGGATTTTAACAGTTTTTGAACTGAATAACAAAACATGTTAATGGGGATAAGACAAATATGAGTACATTAAATCAACAGGAACATACATACCAGTCACAATATCATCCATGACACCATATCCTTGTTTTACACCATTAACCCATTCGCCAATGTAAACAGATGCCACAGATGCTGTGAAGTGTCCTTGTTTCTGTAATCCGTGTCCATGAGCAACACCATTTTTGAAGTGACCTTCATAAATGTCACCATTTGTGTACCTGATAAAACATTTCACATCTGTTCATAACAGTTCACTTACAGGCACATCTATAGGTAGAAATTAGCCCTCAAATTTCTTAGTCTGTAAAATTCAGGCATCTAGTTTGGTATCAGAAAAAGAGGATTGGCAGAAATGTTATGATCTTTAACCTTGTGTCATGCAGATTTGAATATACCAAGAATCAAAGAGCCAATTAAGATGCAGTGAACAAGTATGTATCCTGAAAGTCAAATAAGCTGTTAATGCAAATTGGCAGTACCAGTAACAGAATGCCTTCAGTGTAAAATTTGAGAAGTTCAACAATTGACAATTTCAAGATCTGCAAAATCATAAAATTATCAAATTTCACTGTGACACAGATCGACTTAAAATCATTTATTAGAATGTGTAATTTTACTTCATTATCCCATTGCCATCCTGCTGCCCATCTTTCCACTGCCCATCATATATGCTGATTCCTGGGATTTCCATGTGCCCAGTCCCATTCATCTGGCTGTTCTGGAACTGGCCCACACACACTTTACCATCAGGCCACTCCAATTTACCAGGACCTTGAAGTTTTCCATTCCACCAGCGACCTATAAGTGAGACTAACATTAAATGTACTGCATCAGT